GAACAAACCAACTGAGAAAATTCCAGGACTTTTCAAGGAGCTTTTGGGTTATTATTGTTTTTCCCAGAACTTTTCAGGTCCTGGGAAAAGGCCTTGTCAATTTTTCTGGACTATTCAAGGTTTCTAGGACTTGTATTAACCCTGAATAAGGTTTTCAGTAAAGATGGTTTCACACATGGCAAAGTGTATCTCCACTAATTCACAAAAAAAGAAGAAAAAACTTTGACGAAAAATGCTTCAAAGTTAATGAAAACAAAGTTTTATCACCAAATATTTGCATAAAAAAAATTAAAAAATAAATAAATAAAAAAACAGTTCTTCAATATGTTAAAATTAAATATGTAAATAAGCATTTCTTTTTTAAGCAAACTATTTTTACAATATCACCTCTGTTCATCTTTTAAGATTTTAAACCCTTCCTCCACTACAAACAAAAATAAAATTAATACAATCATTAAATAATTCTCAAATTTTAACATTTTTTAGGTGAAAAAAAAAAATTAAAGCTGAAGCATTTAAGTTCATACAGAAATTTTTGGTAAAAATTCAGTTATGTTTAAATTCAAATCAACTTTGTGGTTTATTTTGCCATCCATTTGTAAAATATCTACTGCTTGGACTCATTATTATTGTTTATTGTTTTATGATATCAGCCGATGACAACATGATTTAACTGACATTTTTCTTGCTATGTAAACATAACATTGAAAAGTAAATATTTAAATACCTGTCAAAATGATTGACTAGAAACATAAAATTTAACATATTTTGTTTTATGTGCTAAAATAAAAGGAAGAGGCTATTTTATCCATCCCCATAAAATAGACAAACATCCTTTTAAGCTTATTTTACCGGTCTTGGTAAAATAGACCCCCCCCCAGGCTATTTTGCCAGTAAATATTTTTATTATGAAGGTAGATAATGTTAAAAATAACAACACACAGATTTAACACAGAAGTTGATTTATTTTCATCATCAATTGTTAAGACAATTTAACATCTTTTCTACCATCAATTGTTAAAATACAAGTTAAAGTAGTTTTTTTCATCATCAATTATTAAAAGAAATATAGAAGACTCTGAATATTTTAAGCACTTCAAGTATAACTGTCTCTGCCAATACAAAGCTGGCCCTTGGGCATGGTTCTCTTGCCATATACAATTCAGGTTCACCCACTGAAGACAACAGTCACAGAACACAGAATCCATGTTGTTCAAGTCCTGCCTACACAACCACTGCCTTGACAATCTCTAATATAATAAATCTACTTATTTTTACTGGCAAAATAGCCTTGGTGTCTTTTACTGGGACTGGCAAAATAGTCTATTCAAAAATAAAATATATTCTAAGATTGTTTATCAAAAAATAAAACTTATAAGTTAACCTTTTTTTAAGTAAATATACTTTATATGAAATTGCCATTATGCAAATAAATTAAATAAAATAATTTTAAATCATGATCTCAAATTAATCCAATTACTTGGGGGTCCCAAAACAAATGTGCAGATATTTTGTACACTAAATTTTTACTAAATGGAATTTCAAACCTATGGAAAAATTCCTCTTTCATTTGATTATGATGTAACAGAGATTAGAGATAGTCTGATGTTTATTGCTATAGACTTCAGTCAACTAGATTTCAAAAAGGAAAATTGGTTTGTCTGGATGACCTTCAAAAGAAGGTTTTTTTTTTCTTTCTCTCTTTCTTTGAATTTAAACCATCACGTTTTTGTTTTGTTTTAATCTTGACATTTTGCCACTTTTAAAGCATAATACACATTAGGTTGGCCAGAAAGTCCTGACTCACTTGGGAAGTGGAAAGAAAACAAATCTTGATCTCTGTCTGGTGAAATTTCCAAGGAGTATTGCATTTCAAGCTTATATTGCATGGTTGCGCCATCTATGCTAAATTGTATTACCAGCAGCTAGATCACATGTATGACGAACTAAAGGAGTATACTGCTTTGGTCAATTGAGGTTGGGATTTTTTTTCAGCAGGACAATGTGAGGCCACACACCCAGCCAGGTTGACTAAGAAGTTCAAACAGATGGATGGTGTTGAGGCTCTTCCACATCCACCATTCAGTCCCGATGCTGCTCCGAGTGACTATGGCCTATTCCACTCAATGGCACACTTCCTCCGCTACCAGTAATTCAACATTTTTGATGACATGAAGGAAGCTTGTTTACAGTTTTTTTTTTAATCAATTCTAGCAGAATGGAATCTGGGACAGATTCAGATGCTAGTTGATCGCTGACAGAAGATAGTCAAGAATGATGAACTTTATTTTGAAGAATAAATGTTGGTGTTGATCCATAAAATGTTGGTATTTTCTTTCTGCTTTCTAAATGAGTCAGGACTTTTTGGCCAACCTAATGTTTTAAGTGATATTTAATTTTAAAATATATTATTTTTTGGTTAAATCTTAAATGTTACAACCTGATACATCATTGTTGTAATAACTTTTAGCACTCTGTAGGCAACTATTTTTGCCAAGCAAAATATTAGTCCTGCTAATGCAAATTGAATTTGGATTTCTTGGTTATGTGGTTATATCCTTCTAGAGTAACCTCTAAAACAATCTTGACTGAAATTGAGAGTCAAGCTACTGCAATTTCAAATATATAACTAATATATAAAACACTATAATTTGAAGAGATTCCATATACAGTAAAAGAGGAAATAATATTTAGATTCAGATTCTGAGTGCTAAGTGTTTTCATAAACCAACATTAAGCTGTTGTTTTTTTTTTTCATAAAATAAAAATTATTATATTTAGTTATCTAATATAAACTGTTATTTAGGACTTGTGTGTTCAGATTACATAAATATAAATGTTTTTTGGCAAAAGGTCTATGTGATCTTTTATTTAAAACAAATAAGTAATGAATCAGCGGCTTTGTTAAAAGAAGGATCACAATTTTCTTCACTTTAATCTGTTATTACTTAATTCCACTTGAAAAAGTATTAACTATGGGAAAAAAGGTTTTTGTTATTTTCCTCATTATAATAAAGGTTTTAAACCTTAAGTACTGTCTAGACATTACTCAGATTAAAATAAATCTCATATATATATATATATATATTTTACATTAAAATACATTTGTGGGTAGAAATAGAAAAGAAGTAGCCCTAAAAATATCATTGTAAAACAAAGAGACAATATAATTAAGCATATTCAGGAGAATCTAACCTTCAACTGTCAACGTCAAAATTACTCATAGTGATAAAGGTTAGCATGAATATTGTAACAGAAATATGTCCATTTCTTGCTTATAATACAAGATTTAGTAATAATAATAATAAAATATTTACAACTATGTACAATCACCTACAAAAGTATAAGTGTAAGTATGGCAGCGGAATGCTGGACAATCTCCTCAAAGATGAAGAGATGTGAAACAACAGAAATGTGGTTCTACAGAACGATGCCAAGGATACCATGGACTGAACACGTGAGCAATGATGAGGTTTTGGAGAAAATGGAAACAAAAAAAAAATTAATACTTTATAATTTATACTATAAAGTTTCTCCATAATTTGGATTACTTATTCTACTTCTTTTGTGCCATGTCCCTTCAGGATACAGGTGATCATGCCCATCCCCCCCCACATCTTTCTCTCCCTTGTAGTTCTTAATAAGTTTTGTCTTTTTGTTATTTCTCCCAAAGCAGCAGTTGAAATTTCTGGGTCACATAATGAAGAAGGAGGGCGAAGAAAACCTGATACTCACAGGATAGATTGAGGGAAATAGGGACAGAGGAAAGCAGCATGTAACATATTTGATAAGCTTGAGCAAATGGATGGTAGAACAGGGTTTGGAAGAAATAACAAAAAGACAAAACTTATTAAGAACTACAAGGGACAGGAAGATGCAGGGGGTGGGGGGGGGCACGACCCCCTGAATCCTGAAGGGACATGGCACATAAAAGAAGTAGAATAAGTAATCCAAATTATGGAGAAACTTTATAGTCAAACAGTTTAAATCAAATTTTATAATAAATCCTATTAAAATTAATGATATTACTATTTCAGATTATGCCTATTCCTAGCAGAAGTCTCCTCTTTTATGCACCATGTCCCTCAAAACTTTCGTGATCATGGCTCTCCAAAATTTCCTATCCTCTACAGCTTTAAGCTTTAAAAATTGTGCTACTGGTAAAGAAAAAAATGTGTGTGTGCGTGTTATATATATATATATATATATATATATTTTAGACAGACAGAGAGAGAGAGAGAGATGTAAATTATTTTCAGATAGAGTGTATCTGTAAAGGAAAAAAAATGAATAAAAAGACAAGACGAATGACTAATCTTAGCCGACATGTTTCATCCTCTGAAGGACTTTATCAAGGCAAATCTAAGGGTTTATTTTGTTTCATGTATTTATATACAAAAACAAAGATGTCATTGGTTTATCAAGGCTTTTAAATTTGAGAACATTCATGTGGTTGAAATATCAGTCAAAATATATGGAGGACACTGATTGCCATAATTATATATGTGGGGGTCTGAAAATTTCTCAATCCAACCAACTTTCCAAAACCTGACCTAATGACTAAACATCAGAATTTTTTCTTGGAATCACATGTGGGTCAGACACAGAATATTATAGCACTCTTTGTATATATTTTTTGTCCCTAAGTACTTAAGTGCACTGGTGATACTAGCTGGGAGTGTTATGACAATAACAAACTGTTCTATTAATGATGTGGTAAAGAACAGCCTACAACAATAATTATAATAAATAATAATCTTTATTGATAATAAAAGACTCATGCATACAACTGGTGAAATAAATATTCAAAAACCTTATACTATATATTATAATCTTTGGAAATTTTAGCTCACATATAAACACCTAACTCATTGTAAATACAAAAGATCGCAACAAAAAAAAAAAAATATAGCAAAATTTTCCAGACTATAAATTATTTCCAAAAAGATAAAAGCAGTGTTAACATATCAGCACAATAAGAATTTATCAAATACTTTTACCTTAAGTTTGGCAGCATCATTGCTGACTTGCAATAATTCCCGTACAGAATCGATGAATCCTTGGTAATGGTGATTACACATCCGTTCAATTTCCTTGTCATGATTTTTAATTCGGCAATCCAGCCTCTGCATAAATTTGTCCAAGTCATCACCATCATATACAGCTCTACAAAGTATCAAAAAACAAAAACTTAATTTCATAATAGGCATGGGGAGATCTCCAACCATAACTAATAATTCATCTTGAAAATTATTAAAATTTATTCTAAATGTCAGATCTATTTGTTATTCTATTGAATGAATAGAAAATATTCTGTTTTGTTTTTCTCATACTGTAATTGAATAGATTTGTATTAATCTTACTATACCGATTCTTAAATATTGTAATATTATCAGTGATATTGAAAAGAAAAAAAGCTTTAAATATTATAAAACAGGATTTAGAATGAAATAGTTTATTTTGCTTGAGTTATAAAATATTCAAAGAAAAAAAATTAAACTTCAGGTACAAAATAAATTTTTTTTTAAAATAATTACAATGTATCGTACATTTTTAAAGCAACTTTTATTTAATTAGAACAGCTTAATTTACCTGATGCATATTTTAAAAGTTTGCTATAATTGAAAGTTATTTAATGCCTATGGAATTTACCAAACTAGTTTCAGAGTATGGGACAGTCAAAGTTTATTCAATGTTGAAAAACCAGCAACCATATTTTAGGATATGGGTATTTTTTTTGTCTCTCAATAATAATTGAGGCAGTAGAATGTTGTTTTATTCCCAGTAATAATTATCAAGAAAGTGTATTGCCCCTTCCCAGCACCCTCTCTTCCTATGACACATCCATTGCCATTTCAAAGGAACAGTTTTCAGGTCAAGATAAATTGGCAACAAGTACACTGCGTACATGTGCTTTTGTAGGGTTGAGCTGTGAGTCTAGTCCTTCTCAAGGGCAGTGGTATGGAATGACATCAGTGGAACATCATAAAAATTGTTTATATTGAGCTAATACTGTTGACCTATATATTATGCATTAGGTCATTTGCAAGTCTCAGTCCATGACAATTATTACTGAACAAGAGAAAGATGAAGCAAATAAGTGATAACAACATAAAAATGAAAGAAATTCAAAGAACTGGTACAGAAAGAAACACATTGTTTAAAATGCTTGTAAGTTTGTACAGGTTTTCATTTTTAAGAATACAAAATATTAAAGCCAATAGTTGTTTATCTCATGCTAAAAAATATCAGGTTTTTACTTCTAAATAAATAGACGGCAAACTGGCTGCCAGTCGGTGCATCTGAAACCTCTCTAACTCGAACCACACTTGCTCTGTAATACATAGGCATATTATACCTTTTTGGAATCAGGATGATTCCAGTTTAAAAATATACCCTTCACCTGATGCTTGAACTTCTGGCATTGGTATTTGTGTCTAGATGACGAGGGAACAGCTAAAAATTCAAATTTTAAAATGACTGAAAAAAATTAATGATTTTAAAAGATTTTAATTTATATTGAGTTTAAAGTAAGACAAAAACTTTATGAATTTAAAAATTTTTGTGAATTCAAAACTTTGTGAATTGAGGAAATCAATTTTATTTTTTCAAAATGCCAAGGAATCAGAGTTAAAGTGAGAGATTTCGTGACGTGAGGTTTTGAAGCTTCACAGAGTTTGTGATTTGAAGAACTAAATTTTTGGTCTGAATTGGAATTTTGACCCAAAATGAACTTTTTGTTCAAATCAGTCTTTTGGCCAAAATTAGACTTATAGCCCAAATCAAAGTGAGGTTTTGTAGTTCCATGGAGTGAATTGCAGAATTCAAATTTATTTCTTCAGAATTATGTGTTTTCTAAACTGGATCAGAGGTTCTTTTAGTTTTGGGTCTAACTAGCTTAAAAGAATGCATGGAGTATGGCTTTTAACCTAGCATTTTAAATTAATTCTTAATCAGTAGAAGTCTCATGTTAAGTAATTTATTAATATAAATTCTTACAATTTAGAAAAAATATTTTTTTTACAATAAAGTATAGAAATACTTTCTTATAAATCTCATTTTTTTGTATCTTAATTGCAATAACAGTAGATAGGTTTGTCTATCATGCAGTTCATACTCCTCCCTGGTCTTTTGAACAGAAGTAGAGGTATATCCCTTGTTTAGGATTGGATTTCTGGTGCCTTGTAAAGTCTTTCAACTTTATACTTCTGACATCTCTGTGTAAACTCTTAAATTTTATTTACTATTTATTTTTTCCTCAATAGGAGTGATCGGTTTGTCTATCATGTGATTTAAACTCCTCTTCAGTCTTTTGAACAGGAGTAGAGGTTTATCCCTCGTTTAGGATTAGGTTTACAGTTCCTTCTAAAAGCTTATTCTCTTTCATTCCCAGTAGCCCCTTGCATCTTAGTGGCATTATATCCTTGCTTGGGGGTGAACTGATTTAAAAAAAAAAAAATATTCAAGAAGGAAAAGAAAAAGAAATATAAGCAGTAATAAGTTTTGCTTAAACTAATGATATCCATTAAATAATGATATATTTATTTTGAAGAAAAGGTTTATTTCTGTATAAAATATGTTAAAAACAAATGTTTTCTCATATTTACAAAATAGAGATCATTTTATACAGCAATTAGTAATATTTTTTTCAACTTTCAATGTTTAAATGATTTTCCTTTCTGCTTCTGTAACAATATTATATATATATATATATATATATATATATGAACACATATTGATACTAACATGTTTCAATGAATAAATATAGACATATTATGTCTATTTTTATAATGATCCTCTCTAGTTCTCTAATCAGTTTCTTGATGTTAAGAGGAAATTCATCAAGGAAGGCACCATAGTTTTTTTTCCTACCCAAGTACTTTCAATCTCTTTCTTAACATCAAGAAACTGATTAGAGAACTGGAAAGGATCAGTATAAAAATAAATAGACATGTCTATATTATTCAATGAAACAGATTTCATTGAAGATATGCTCTTTTCTCCCTCATATATATATATATATATATATATATATATATATATATAATAAAAAAAACAGACCACTTTAAAGGTTCCATGTAATAAGTTATTTCACCATAACCCCTTTAACAGGGCTCTGGATCATCAGACTTTACTTCCAAAGGTTGAAATGAAAAATGAAAAGAAATTCACACGTTTTTGCTGGACCGCATCAAGCATATGTAAAATTAACGAAGTGAGGAAGTATGGTGGGAGAGAAGACAAGATATGAGTGGGTTAGATGTACCATTTCAATTACTTATTCTTATTGTCTCTAGATATAGGTGGGTAAGGGGTGGGGGAGAGGACCGACATTAAAGGAAGAAGCTACAACAACCCTAATAAATTACATTTCACGAGGGCAGGTTTCATTCAAAATCTTAGATGCTGTTAATTCACATTACTTTAAAGGGCATATTTGGGAGATTAAGGTTTGATATAAATCTAAATGTCTAGACAATCTACGAAGAATTTAATTTGAAGTTCGTTGGAGTTTGGGTATTTTCTATGAAATAGTCGATTGGAAAACTCAGAGAGTACATTGAAAAAATAATCCATGTTATATTTAGTAATCTTTTTTATTTTTCTAAAGTCGTATCTTGTTGATTGTTAAGTTGACATCTATTCGTTTGATTTTTGTTCATTAATTAAATAAACTCGAGTTGATTATTCAGTTGACATCTATTCGTTTCAGTTTTGTTCATCGATTAAACTCGTGACTTTTTTAATATACCTACATAATTATTAAAGGTTCTTTCAATTTAAATAACTTTATCGTCAATACTAATTGTTAAAGGGTATACATACACACACACACAAAAAAAAAAAAAAATAAGATCATTATTATCAAGGTGAGTAAGAATACAGACACTACACTTATTTTACAGAAAAAATATATACTTACAGTGATCTGTACTTTTTACATAAATTTTATTCTTATGCAATTAAATCTTGGTAAGTATCCATTTACATAAATATATGCTTTTTATCCTTATGTCTTAAATGGTACAAGTCCCAACCAAATTTGCAAACATTATTTACAGTTGAACTAATGTCCTCATCTTTGTAGTTACAATCACTTTGTTTTGACAGTTGTGCTGCCTTATTCAAGTGTCTATCAATATGAGTAATCTTCAGGGAATTTCAAACTGAACTCTTTACTCAATCTACATGAGCAGATTGTTCTCCTTCCACAGTCAATGTCTAGCGATATCTCATCTTTGTTAATTGATCCGTTCAAGAGGATTAAGGTTTTACTTAGTGAATTTGATGACAACAATTGCAAGTTCAGTCCATAGGCTAGGCAGTACAGATATACTCAGTGGAAACTAGACAAGCATTAACAAAACAATTAACCTAAAAATGGACATCAAATTGAGAACAATCTACCCTCATAGATTAAATCAAGAGTTCTGTTTGAAATTCCTTGAAGGTTATCTGGATTGACAAACACCTGAAGAAAGCTGGACAGGACAATGGATGAAATATTGTGATGATAATAATAAAAATGAGGACATTAATATGACTGCAAATAATAAATCCACATCCCCATGTATTCAAACAAAAAAAAAAAAAAAACAAAGAACTTTTTAGTAAGCCAAATTCTAACAGTTCACCTTTATTTATTTTAACTTCTTGAAAGATTCAAACATTGAGAAAAGAACTTGAAGTTTTAATAATAATGATAATAATAATAATAGCTTTAAGTAAATTATATTCTTTTCAAGGAAATTTCTCAACTCACAATAAAGAAAAAAATCTTGTAACACTTATGAGTTGAACTCAATAGTTATAAGTTTACAAATTAGTTTAAAGATTTAAATGTTTATCATTAACAATTTAGCTGTAAATGGCATTTAACATGAGTTTTGTCTGAATTTTTAAAAAAATAAGAAATTATCATTATGCACTTATTTACTTAGACTCATCTTCATCTTAGTCCTTATTATTACAACTGAGCTATTTGCTGTTGTACCCTTTAGGGGCATCATAATCATTTAGGGATTTTAAACTGAATCCTTTATTCAATCCATGAAGGTATAAATTTCCATGCTAGAAAATATATTAAAACTGTAAACTGGTTCAATGAAAGAGCCAGTGACATCATAAGGAAGAATTAACAGGATACAAAATATCCTCTAGCATAG